CGGAGGTGTCTCGGAGGTGTCTCAGAGGTGTCTCGGAAAGTGCCGCGCACCATGGCAAAGATGAGGGTCGTCGCGATCCAAAACGGGCCCCACAGGTCGGGATTCGCGGAGATGAGGTCAAAGAAGACGCCGCGCGGTCGCGGCAGCAGCGAGCCCTTGATCCGGTTGAGCACCTGGGTGGAGAGGGGGTGGAGGGGGGGTGGAGGGGGGGTGGAGGGTGGTCGGAGGGGGGGTGGAGGGGGGGCGGAGGGGGGGCGGAGGGGGGGTGGAGGGGGGGTGGAGAGGGGGTGGAGAGGGGGGTGGAGAGGGAGGCGGATGGGGGCGGAGGGGGGTGGATGCGGGTGGAGGGGGGTGGAGAGGGTGGAGGGGGGTTGAGAAGGCGGGGAGGGGAGGGGCGGAGGGGGCGGGTGCAGGCGGATCGCTCGCGCACGGTAATCTCCCTTTTCTCCCCACATCCCCCCCACCCCTTTTGGGGAGCCTTCCAGGAGCCTTCTCGGTGCGGGCTGCATCGCTCTTCCTCTTGGGCGAGGAAGGGGTCGGCGGGCGGGGAAGGGGCCTGCTGTAGCGCTCACGGCTGCTGGGGAGGCGGCGGCTGCAGCGCCGCGACACGGCGCTGCCGCGCGAAGGCTCACGGTGGGTTCCAACTTTTTCCGGGGTATGGTATGGTACTCTCGGCGGCCCAAGGGGGGGGGGGGGTATGGCCCTGACCGCCCAAGGCTAGCCCTAACATACCCCAAGCAGGCCTTCCAAGAGGCGGGGGCGTATGGTCTCGAGGTGGGTTGGCCGAGGGTACCATACCAGGCCCCGGAAAAAGTTGGAACCCTGGCTGTCCAGGTACAGGGGGGGGAAGGGAAAAGAGCGAGCAGTGCGTGGTGCGGCAAGCGGCGGGGACGTGAGGCACACCTGGATGGTGTCAATGTCGAAGAGCGGCTGGTAGTACCTCAGCGTCCAGAAGCCGCTCGAGCCCGGCTGCCCCTCCACGTCCTGCATCTGCTCCAGCGACTGCGGCTTGAGCATGCCGCTGCCGATGGCGCCGCCCATCCCGCCCGCGGTCGCGCTCGGGCTCGCCGACGACGCGCCTGCGCCGCCGCTCGAGCCGAAGTCCTGGAAGGAGAGCGTCTGCGGATTCAGCTGCGCCTGCTCAGGAAGGGCGCGCGCTACCTCTCAGACGCGAGCGCAGAGCCACAGCCGTGCGTATGGCTCTCGTTTCAGGAGGGCAGAGACCAGGCGCGTGTGCGGCGCTCTGCTGCGGCAGCAGAGGCGAGGGCCGGATCGGCAAGCCTCGGACGCGTCGATCTCGAGCAGGTGCGCTGCCATCGGGGCTTTGAGTGAGCAAAACGCCGCAGAGTTGTGGGCCGAAAAGAATTGTAGTACGCCAGGGACCGACCGTGTGTGTGTGTGTGTGTGTGTGAAAACCGCCAATGGCCGTTATCCGTTAGTGCGGACGTCGCCGCGGCTCGCCTCTGCCGCGGCGGCTGCTGCGCGCACGCGGCGGCGCCGCTCTCTCGCGAGACGGCTGGCGACGCGGCTCGCCGCCGACATGCGCTGCGCTCGTCCGACGGTCCGCAGCGTGGCGTGCGCGGCGCTGCGCGCCGCTCTGCGAGCGCTTGTGCGCCTGCACTGCCTGTCTCTGTTGCTGCTGGTGGTGGTGCTGGTGCTGCTGCTGTGCATATGCTGCTGCTGGCGCGGCGCGGCTCTGTGACTGGGCTCGACGCGCGCGTCGCAAGCATCTGACGAGGCGGGCGGCGTCGGGCAGGTGCGCTTCTCTGTTTGGTGGTGGTGGTGGTGCTGCTGCTGCTGGTGGTGGTGCAGATGCTGCTGCTGGTGCGGTGCGGCTCTCCGACCCGACTCGGTGCGCGCGTCGCGGCGATCTGACGCGGCGGGCGGCGTCGCGGGCGGCAGCGATCGCGGCTCGACGGTGGAGGCGGAGGCTGGTAGCTGGAGGCTGTGCTGGTGGACCTTTGACTAACTCTCACCCGCCGCCGCTCCGACGGTGAAGCGGCGGGGATTGTCAGCGGATCGACGACTAGTTCGTGCTCGGACTGCCTCGCAGTCATACAACCCGTCGTGCGACAGGCTGTCTAAGCCTGGCGCCGACCCGGTGTTTTGACACCCAACACTCTAGCTTAGCTCCTGAGGGGCGCGTGGTTTTAACCACGTAGTATGACTACAACCCACCACAGACACCCTCCCTGCTCCACACGTGTACACACACCCTCACCCTCTCCCCTCTCCTCTCTCTCTCTCTCTCTCCTCTCCTCTCCTTGTCTGTGCTGTCTGCCTGACTCAGGCACTAATTCTGCCGATGCGTGATTGTGTGTGGGCTGCTCCGAGGGGGCCCTGTGCGATCCGATGGGTAGGGAGTCTGTGCCCGGGCGGTGTCCGGTGCGGAGTCTCTCTCTGATCCCACCTGTGGTGTTGGGTGTGAGGTCGTGGAAGCGTCGATCCCAAGGGGGGGAGCTGATCCCACTCATAACCAACTCTCAGGGGCAGTAGGTGGGCGAGCCTCGAGCGCGCTCATCTCGATCGTGAAGGCGTCGCTACGCGCGGTCTTCCGCGGGGGGAGCTTCGTCGACGGGTGCGGGAGCGCGGCGCAGCCAGTGCCGTGGCGATGCCTCCGGCCGTTTGCGGCGCGCGGGCGGCTTGCTGCTCGCTGCATGGCGAAAAACTCGTCTCGCCACACGCCAAGGGCTTATGCTCTGGCGAGACGTGAGGCGCATGCGCCCAGGAGGGGAGGGAGCATGTGTAACGACACTGCTAGAGATGCCTTTCGGGGCCCAGAGATAAAACTTCTGTGATGCCATGCGTGACCTAGTAGTGTCCCCAGCTATGGGCGTGTCCACGTTGGAGCCAGGTGTGGTGTGGGCGCGAGAATAGCTCCGCCGTTCATGGAGGCAACCGATGCGAGTCGACTGGTGTGTGTCGTCGTGGTTTCGTATCAAGAATACTCACTCACGGACCGACCGGCGGCGGCGCCGCAGGACGAGGCAGAAGAGAATGACGCGACAGAGGAGGAAGTGACAAGGGAGAGAACGACGAGAGTGGGACGGCCGCGAGGTGGCATGAAGGTTGCAGCGAGAAGCGGCGAGAGACTGCGAAGAGAGATAGGAAGAGGCAGACTCCCTAGGGTGGGCGACGGCTAGCGCATCACACCCCTCTCCTTAAAATCCCTGTGTGGTGGTGGCGTGCCCTCCCATCCCTCCCTTGGATTGTCTGTTTTCTTTCTTTCTTTACTGGAGCCGCCTAAGCGACTCCGGCGAGGACGGCGAGGCACTTAGCTCCGTGCACTCGACCGCCCTCGCCGTTGGCAAGCTCATTCACAATCTGCTCTGCGATGGCCGTGTGAAGAACGACTGAGATGCGCTGCTTCTGCAGCCCCAGCCAGCTCTTGGTGGTCCAAGTCACCTCATCGAGGTACTGGGCCCGCGTCAGCTTGTTCTGCAGCACGTTCGCCGCGTCCCAGAGGATCTCGCCGACCCCCTTCCCGAACCCAGTCAGCACACAGCAGCTCGGGCAACTCCCAACTGCACATATGCAGAACAGACATCAAGCCTGGTCGGACTGTGTTTCGCCTTCCCATCAATGTTAGAGTTGTTTGGTATTGCTAAAAATCTCTCTCTCAATGTTCGTTTACATTGAGGTGATGTGGAGTCTGGCCGCGCGGCGGGCGGCGGGACGGACGTAAGATAATGAATCGATGTGCGATCAGGCGTATCTAGATAACAAGCGCGATTGCACAAAGGGTGGAAGAGAGGGTCTGGCCACCGCGCGGGGCGAGGCAGGCGGTGGGCCAGATGCCGGATCGCTGTGCGCGTTTGTCGGTCAGGGCGCGGTGTTGACCGCGGCGGCCTGCCGCGGCGGAAGAAGGCAGAGGCGAGGGAGCACGGCCAGGGGGAGGGGCTCTACTACGACGCGGGCTCGGATGAGGGCGGGGGGGTGTGGTTTTAGGCGCCCTTGAGCCCCAAAAAAGAAAAAAAAGAAACCCGGATGTGATGTTCCCCCGGCGGCCTTTCCCTGACATCCACAGTCACAGTGTGTGTGAGTGAGTATTCTTGATACGAAACCACGACGACACACACCAGTCGACTCGCATCGGTTGCCTCCATGAACGGCGGAGCTATTCTCGCGCTCACACACACACACACACACACACACACACACACACACACACACATCCACACAAGGAGGCGCCATTCACCGCACAACTGTGAACGGTGACTCGAAGATGTTCTGCACGTCTGCGCGGAGAGCGAGTCGTAAGGCAAGCCCGCACTTTCCTCGTCCGCTCGCGCTTGCCGCGCCGCATTGCGCCCGACTATGCCGCCGCGAGCTGCACGCCTAGACCCCCGCGACGTCTATTGCTCACGGAACCCGCCGCCCCCTCACCACCCCTACCATGCGATGCGCCCTCGCTCGCGGCGCGAGCGTCTGTACCCCCCTCGGCCTCACCGCCTGCCCACTCCCTCTCGCACGTACAGCCGCTGCCATCGAGGAAGCCGCGAGACGCGTCCGCTGCTGCCCATTCCCCACCCTTGTCCCGCGCGACCGCCCTCCCTCTCTTCTGGCAAGAGAGCGACCCGCTCGCTTGCTCGCCAATAGCCGCCCGGCTCCAGTCCGAGCGCCGAGGACGCGAGAGAGCGTGTCGGCGGCTTCGTCTCGACGCTCACGCCGCGACGTGCTGCCCGTAGGCGCGGCTCTCCTCTCTCCGGCTCCCTCTCTCTTCCCATTCAGCATGCACATGCACACCCCTCTCACGGGCGGCCCCCATTCTCTCTGCTCTGCAGGACGCGCGTCGAGAGGCGCTACATGGTCGACTTCGATGAGGGCGAGGGCGAGTCGGCTTTCTTGGTTGTGAGATCAACAAAGGGCGTCTGGTTCGACAACCCCCACGTGTTCCATCGGAGCCTCGCAAAGGTGCCAATCAGCTTTTGTTTCGCGGAGGGGGCCCAGGTTCAGACCGAGCTCGGGCCAACGGCTTCCGTCAAGGTCGGTGGCTACTTCGCTTCCCGTGCGGAGTATGAGGAGTGGTATCAGCGCCGCCGCCCGAGCCTGACGCTGCCGCCTTCGCTCGGAGCTGAGGTGCGCACTTTTACGCCAGGATCGGCATTGTCCCTGCGGTGTCCCCGTCTCCAAACATTTACGTTTCTCCCTCGCGCAGGCGTGCGGCGTCAACAACGACGTCGTTGTGAAGGAGGAGGCCGCCACTCAGGAGGCTGCCTCCGAGGAGGCCGTCGTCGCCGAGGAGTTCGCCACCGAGGAGGCGGCCATCAAGTCCGCGGTGTCCGCCGCCGCGGCGCCCGTCGCCGAGGAGGCGCCCGTCGCCGAGGAGGCCGTCGCCGAGGAGGCTGCCAAGGAGATCGAGAAGCCGGCACCGGCCAAGACCGTTTCCAACCCGCCCGACAAGCGGCACATTGAGGTGGAGGACGACGAGTCGAAGTCGTGGAGGAAGAAAAACCGCCGCAAGCAGATCAAGCGGGTTTTGGCGGGGCTTGTGGCCATGGCGAGAGAGTCCGAGGCCTTCGCCTCCTTCATTCTGGCGTGGTCGTCGCCGCCTTCGCGCCTCATCATAGCCGAGGTGCACGCCAGGATCGTCATCGTCCCTCCGGTCTCTCCGAACACGTGCGCATTCTCCCTCACCCAGGCGCTCGGCATCAAGAACGACGTCGTCGTGAAGGAGGAGGTCGCCACCGAGGAGGCCACCTCCGAGGAGGCCGTCGTCGCCGTCGGTTTGGTATAAATATAAGCGCAGGCGCGCGAAACCGCGTCGAGCGAGGGAGTATGACCGGGCCCGAGGATAGCATGGTACCGAGTAGCGTGGGGAGCGTGCTTTGCGTGTGTAGTACGTCTGCGAGTCGCCGTAACAGGTGAGAAAGAGCGCTATTCAAAGCGATGTCCGATGAGCTTGCTCATCCCGGAGTGGTTCGACTCCACACAAATCCGAGACGGTGACGGGCGCTGTCTCGATGATCTCAGGCCCAGTGAGGTAGTGCGTCAGACCTGTCCCGGATCCTGCTGACCAAGCTCCTCTTGTAGCTCGATCGGTCACACCGCCATCGCCGTCGGGGAGAGGGGGGCGACACTGCTTCGGCAGCGTGCACCTCGATCCTGTACCGTGTTTGTTATGACCCCCCCCGATGAACACACCAGTGAGGGAGGGCGAGACGATCGAGGGGTCCCGTACCATGCGGAATCGACCCGATCCAGTGCTCAAGTGCTTAAGTATAAAGTATAAATATAATTCCTTTTTTGCCGGGGGCGCGAACTGCAGAATTCCTAGCGCGAACACACTTCACCAGAGCAGCGCGGAGCCGCAATTC